TCGTGTCTTAAATTGCAGATGGCTTCTTGAGCATCAGGTGTGTAAGGAAGCAAACCAGCTTTTAGACATGCTTCCATGGACTTTAGAACTTTTTAAAAATAGAACTTCAGTCTTTGAAATCTGCTGTGGGGATAATGCAACTAAAAAGCAGTTTCATTTAATAATTTCAAAAGTTTCTTTAGAAACTTTCTTTTTTTTGCAAGCTTCAGAATTCAGCTTTCAATTGTTAAGTGTTGAGAAATAGCAAATGCCTATGTAGACAGTTTCAGCTAATATTCATCAGTTCCTCTGCATCAGAAAAACGTTTCTGGAGGACCTTCATCATTAGTACCTCCAGCATGAGTATAAAAGGTAAAGAGAAGATAAAATTTCAGTTGTTATCCTTCCCAGCTTGCCCATTTTCTTTATGAATTGCAAATACATAGAAACTAGACAGAATGCTGCTTGACTGCCTCAAAGAAAAGTAAGTCTGATCAATGCAGTTCAGATTGTGGTTTGATATCAATAAGATTTTGTATTAAAGGACTGTAAAATATATTGTATGTTTTTGTGAATACTCTTGTATAAATATTCACAGTTGTACCATATGTGAAGGTACCCCTGTGTATTGTGCATGTTTCTGGGTTACGAGTGAAGTCAAGTCAAGCTGCACCTCCCTGGGGAAGGGGCATACTTTCCTGACCTAGCTGTGACATGAGGGGGCTTTTCCTTTCCTGCTGCCACTTGCAGATCCTAGAATTGGTCTTAGGGGATTGCTCAAAGGTATTTATCTCACTTGTAAATTCTTTTCTGAAAAAATGGACATTTTTAGTGTAAATACTCATGTATCATGTATTCTTGCTACTAAAGTTCAGTTAAACAGCTCATACTTAAACATTTTTTCAACTTTTATAATTTGTATACCTGTAACTTAAGACTTTAATGCTCAAACAATGTTTAGGAAAGCTGGCTGCAGAACTGTCTTGCTTTGAGGTACTTATTTTTTCTAGCTGCTGTCCCTATATAATAACTACCTGTAACAGTATTAATTTAGGTATTAGCTTGTTTGTACTGTGCAATCTGAACAGAAATGCAACATTGCTCATTTTATACAAAAGTTAGTTTATTTTTTATAACATCGCTGATACTAACATGGACCAAACCAGTCATCAGAGGGTAGTTCCAGCATCTGTCATTTTTCTAGTGTATTGTTAAGTACAAATCTGTTTAAATTCTGAAAATTAAGAGCTTTTATAATTAAGTTGAAATACATGGTGGTTTTGTTTACTTGTCTATTTCTTTTGGAGAGAGGATTAAGTGCTTTAAAATGTACAAATATTGAAGTATTGCTTTAGAATGGCTTTACTAAGCCAGTAAAACCAGTAAAAGTGCAATAATTGTGTTCCCTGGCAAGCTGGAGATTAGTGGATGCAACTTGAACTTCCACTTGAAGAGATGAGACTCTTAAGTTAGTTACAGCAAAAAACTCCAGTTAAAGTCCCAGCATTAAGTTTAGTCTGCATTGTAGCTACTGGTTACAGATGCCTATCATATTACTAAAAGAAACTTTCTTCCAAATTAAGATTTACTAGCCTCTTGTGAACTGACTTTAAAAAAAAACATTATTGTTTTTGGGGATACTAAGAAAGCTATTTTTAAAGAAAAACCTGCATAATCTATAAGTTTTCATGTTTAAATCAAATAAAAACTGTGCTTCAAGTTAGTATTCTTCTGTGATTCTGTGTGAATGTGGTATACTAAGTAAACCCCTTTTTTATCTTTCAGTTTCTGACTCTGTACAAGTGAATGCATACATTAGCTCATATATTAACAAACAGTATCTTGCTACTGTGCTACTGTTGTTTGACAGTTCTTTTAAAGTCTTTACTTGCAAAATTTTAGAAATTTGTATTTCTATAGTAGGAGTTACCTCTATGCAAAACTTACTTATGTGCTAATTTTGTATTCCCCTTCCACTGTTACACATTTAATTAAAAAATGAATTTATTCAGTTTTACTCAGAAGTTACTGCTACGGAAAATAACCATTTCCGACCCCAGTTTAAGCAGCTTGTCCCGGGGACACTCGAGTCCCGCAGTGCCCCCCAGCTGGGAGCCGTGTGGGACTGCAGCGCTGAGCACGCAGCCCGGGGGCTGTGCAGCATCGCGCCGGCCACGCTCCTTCCCCGGCGCTGCCGCGGCCGAGCGGCACCTCCACCCCACACCGCGCCCCAGTGTCGCCGCCGCCTCTCGCTGGCCCCGAAAGACTCGTTTCTTCTGTGACTGGAGGAAGCCTCCACACAGGCAGAGACGCAGCCCTCCTCCCTTTGAAATACCAGTACAAGCAGCTTCACCATCTCTGCTCAAACCCCTTCTTGCCACACAGCTTTCCTGGGGTTCTTGCCCGGCTTTCCAACCGCGCGTCACCAGCGGTGCCTGTCAGGGCTCATCCAGCCCTGGCTGGGAGGTGCTGGATACTGAAACAGGTCTTGCTACCCCCGAGCAGTACCTCACAGCTGAGCTGTCTAGTCTAAGCTTAGAGAAAGTGACAAAGACAGAGTAAAACCATTGAGGGAAAACTGCAGCTAAGGTGTTTTAGGTGAATATAGTAAATTCCAACCCCCCAGCTGCTTGCTGCCTCATAAAGACCAAAAAACACATTCCTGGCCCTTTATTTTTAGCTGTAGATGTACTGGCTAATTTCTCTCTGTGTACTTTGCAGAATAGACACCTCTTTTGATGATAAAAAAGAAAACTATAGTAATAGAAGACTAATCTGCATTAATTAAGTGAAGAAATAAACAGTCCACCAGCTTTTCTTGTTTTTCCAGCTATGGTACTTGGAACCAACTATCTGCTTTGAAAAGTGTACTTAAGGCTGCTGCTGTAATATTTGTTACTCCTCCACCTCCAATTATGCTTCAGGTGGAACTTCTGTCCAGGCGACCAGCCAGGATCATTATTTTAGCTGCAAGCCTCAGTTTAGATAGATAATTTTTGCATTTTTCAGCCATGTTTGTGTTACAAACTGTAACTATAGTTGTTTTCAGCATCGCTTGGCCCTATTTCCACAACATACTTAAGCAAAGCCTCCGTAGAATGGTTAAGAACTCGGATGTCTTGGGAAAAAAAAAAAAAAAAAAAAATCACACAACACAAATTATGTTTCACTTTTATTTATAAAGGCAGAAACTTATAAGAAGTTAGAGATCCCTCCTAATTTAATTACTTAATAAAGGATAAATCCTGAGTTAGCAAAAGGTATTGCTTCACTGAAGTTCCAGAAATTTTTATTAGGCCCATTTAAATTTTTTGACTCATGGTTGATCAGCTAGGCAGCAGTGCAAACCAAAATAATGTATTTGTTAAGATTGAAATATAAGCTCTGAGCTCTTCTTTTAAATGACTTTTAAAAATGACTTTTTAAATAATGAATGCATCGTAACAATTGTACTTAAAAATCAGATACAACCAAATGACAACTGATGCACATTGACAAACCCATTTGCCTTACTTAATGAGTTTGATGTCCAGTTCAGTGTAATTTCTGTAATTGACCCACAAGTCAGCCACAGCATTTCCAAATGTACTTGGGCTATTTCATACTGTTTAGATACCCAGCTGAAGAAAAAAAAATGAAGTTAAAGGTCAAGGTAAAACACTTGATCATGTAACTGCTGTCTGTCAGGGATTGCAGCAAATGCAAAAGTGTTAGAAAAATTTGATAGGCCCTGCTTTTTACTTGACGTGATGGTGCAGGAACAGAAAGCTGCTTGGCAGTGCTCATGAGATTAGCAAACAGGAAGTCTGTGTTATTAGTGCAGCGTTGATGTCACAGAATATTTCATACTGAGCATGGAGAAGCAAAGTTTCTCCAGAATGATTTGAGTTTCAGGAACTAATACTAACTATGCATTGCACTGGAGATAAAAAGTGCATCTTGGGGATAAAGAACAGTTAAGGGGCTTCAGACTTCAAAGCTTGCCAGTTAAAACTGAAAGTTATTCTAAATCACATAAGGTCATTTATAAACTCCATCCTGTGCAAAGAAGATAATCCCCAGATATTAGCTATTCTCAAGACAAAAGACTTGTTGATACTTTTACTTATTGAAAGCAATATTTACTATAAAAATGTATTAAGTAAAAGTATTAACAAAATGCAATACTGTCACACCACCAAAAGTCTCTTCAAAGGAGACAGCAAAATTACAGCCAATTCTAACAAATTAGAAGTTTATAAACAGAAATTTTAGAGTTAATTGTAAGACATGTACACAAGGGAGTGGTGACTTGGCACTGTTACACAGAAGAGATCAAGTCACATGCTAATGTGCTGATGCTGAAGGATTCCAGCAGGAACACAGGTGCAAGATGATAGTTTGGTGAGAATTGCCTATTCAAATTGCAAAGCTAGAGACAAGTAAAATGGTAGGCAATAAGTTTTTTTAAACAGAAAGATAAAAATTGAAAATGAACCTAGATGAGCAATTACACATTCCATAATACTTAGTTTTCTGCACTGTGCGTTTGTCAGTAAACGGGAATTCAATCAACATGGGCATTGTCATTTCCACTGACTTCTCCAGTGACAGAAGTATTCTAACATCCCCAAACATGTAAACAGTTGTCTCTTAGCTGAAGATCTTACTTTAACAGGACGGATAGTATTGGCAGGTGGTAGTCCCCACGTTCATATAAAGTACTTTCACATTCAGTGCAGCAAATTAAATTTCTTCAACAGGCCCTTCTCACTACAACTGCCATTGTATTACGCTAACATTACCTCTTCAAATGCAGTCTGCAAGTTACAAATCACACTCAAAGTGCAATCAAACTGCCATTTCAGTGGAAAAAACAGCTGAAATTCCATCAACATGGAGCCTCGTGTTTTCTCCAGAAACCCAGAGGCATTAGCCCCAATTCATGTTTAAACAGTCAAACTGCCAGAGAAATACCATTTGTAATTAAGTTCTGGTGAAAGTCTCCAGCATCCCGTCCATATTTCAAGATTTATTACAGCAGTATCTTTTGACAGACAGATTAGCATATTATTTTTGCAGTACTGCAACATTAGAAGACAAAAAGGTCATAAGTACAGGACCAGCCAGAAGAAAACACCCAGTTTGGAAGTCTCTCCATTAAGGCATGAAGTTGAGGTGACTTTTTATCTTCCCCAAAGAAGTAATGTGCTGCTATGGCAAGGGAGACTGTTTCATCAGCATGCTTTTCTGAAGCCTGAAAGTAAGAAAAGAGCAACATCACAGTTACGATTTTTTGTATGGCTTCCAAAGTCAAAGTTAATCTAGACATATCTTTCCACAGACTGCATATATTTGCAAATGCAACCCCACAAGTCAATGTTCTATACATTAGAACATTCCTAGTATCCTCGATGCACCTCCATGTGCACCTTTACCTCTATCCAATGCAAGTTCAATTCAAACCGAACACAAACACACACACGGACCACAGTGCTTCTGACGGGCTTACGTAGCTTGCATGTGTTCAAAATACTAACTCACAACTCCACACTTAAGAAACCAACACAACAAATCAAGACAAACAGCAGAGACCTGGCATTTATACTGATCTTCCTGTTATGAATCTTTAGCCTGAACAGACTTTTCTGCTTAGCTTTGCCACGGCCACCTTGCAAATCTAGTTGCACTGCAGGTTCCTGTCCATCTTTACGTGACGATCCTTTGAGGGTACTTGCAAACTGTTTAAGCTGTCTGATCCAAGAAGGAACAAGGGACCTCCTGAACTTTCACAGGTTTGTAATTTTTCTAAAAAGATTAAGACACTGGTAAAGCTGTAATAAAAACTTACGTGTTTGCAAAAAAAAAAAAAAAAAAAAAAAAAAAAAAAAAAAAAAAAAAAAAAAAAAAAAAAAAAAAAAAAAAAAAAAAAAAAAAAAAAAAAAAAAAAAAAAAAAAAAAAAAGAAAAAAAAAGGCTACACACTCCCAATAATCAAAACAAACAAACAACCAATCTTCTCCCCCCTTACACAAAAAGTCACGCCCCTATAACCCTCCCCAAAAATGCACAAAAAACACAAATCAGACTAAGTATCATGTACACAAAGAGTCATAGGAGAAAAAAAAAAAAAAAAGGCACTTCAAACATGAAAATGCATAAATGCATTCTGAAATAACAAGAATAAAGACAAAACTTAATGAAATAAGAGATTAAGAGTACAGTAATTCTAATTTCAGATACAAGACGTGGAAATTATTTAAAGAAAAGTCTTCTCCCACTATTTGAAAAATCAGTGGGTAAAGCATCAAGCCACATGTCAGCTGATACAGAGCAGGGAGACAGATGAAGAGAAGCTGCAAATAGGGATTTTGAAACAGAGAAGGTTGTTACAAGAGCCTTGGCTCACCCAGAGCACGCACGTCCCAGCGCGGCACTCACCGTCAGCTCTATCCAGAAGCGCCACGGCGCAGCCTGCAGCCCGTGAGAGTAGAACACAAAGTAATCCCCTCCCACGCTCGCAACGGGCCTCCCGTCTCCAAGGGACCACGAGGACAGGGTCGATCCTTCGCGTGGGCGGATATACAGCGACATGTGACTGGGACCTACAGGCAGGAAAATGCATCTGTGTGTGTGCACAAATTAAGGTGCAAGAGTGATCTACCCCATTTCCTTTCATCCCAACCATCTATATGCAACAAAATATTAATATGCAGTCTCTATATCACTGTCCTACATTTTCAGACACAAGGTATAACTGAACAAATGTGTTCTCTACAGAAGAGCCTTCAACTGTTTCTGAGCAATGAAAAAAAATAACTGTTAGCCATAAAAGACAGGGATAGAGCTACCAAACACACTTCAAAAAGCTGAAGTTTAAAGACTTACTCAAAATAGACAAGACACCGGTCTCCCAAAAACTGCAATGTTACCCCCACAGATTCTAGCGTGTTATGCGAGTGATTTCATGTATATCACAGAAAACCAATCAAACTCACTTCTGTAGGAACGACATAATAACCTTCAGTACTAGAAACAAAATCTGAGTTTTAATGCAGGGGAAGGGGGAGTGGGGGAGGGTAAAGGAGAGAAAAATTAAACCAGCTGCTTCATTCACTCACCAGATACTTCAAAACTTAACCTCATGGAATTCAAAGGCACTAACTCTTTGGACAGAACTTTAAATTGAATAGGACTCATTGGCAAAATATCTGGAGCAGGAAGGTACCAGTTCTTCCTGTAAAAAAAAACAGTTAAGTTTTTAATTTCAATGCACCAGTTGGATGTAGTAAATATTAGAAACCAAGAATAGCTTTCTGTATAGCTGACTGTGCTATTACTAACAAAATATTCCAAAGCTAATTATTCAAAGGAAGTTTAACATTTAATATCTTGTGTCCAGAAATAAATATTTGACTTGCACAAGAATGAAATAGCTATCAGTGTTTTCATTCATTAAGAGATTCATTAACTGAATCTCTTAATAGAATTTGCACAGCAGCTAGAGAAACATTACAACAAACATGGATACTTTAAACTCCAAATTCTTGTCACAAATTTGGGGGACATGGGTGGCAGTCACAGGAGCAGGTTCACTCCTGGAATTACTACTCCAGGCTTTCTTTACTCAGGAATGGTGGGAAAGAGGGAGAGCAAGGCAGAGGTGCACACTTGCACTCCGAACTGCCCGCTTGACGCGCACTCCACTGACTACAGAAGAAGGTAGGTTCACCTGGTGGCTGTTGACATCAGTTTTCACACAACTTTTAAAATTTCTGCAGCAGAACCAGCAGTCTCTTGCAAAGGTTTTTGCAAAAGGCACTATACTTAAACAGAAGTGGAGGCATCTTCCAAAGCAAAAGTTATGAACTTTTAACTAATATTAGTCTGTTTTTCTTCTCTTAATTAAGGAAAATTGCATAAATATCCAATTTGCTTTGGCCAGTAATTTCTCATGTTAAGCAGCATTCACACCAACCGGAACATAAAATGCACAGGCAGAATCCAAGGAAAGCCACAAAAAGGAGCCCACTCATCACACTGAGTCCTAATGGCGTCATTGATTTCAGGTACATGTGGAGTTATGTGAGATATGCCATTATAATCAAATCCATTAATCCATATACCAGAGTCACTTTTAACCAAGTTCCCATCTAGATCATGAAATCTTCTGCTTATATGCTAGAATAAAGAGGGAAAAAGAAAAAAAAAGAAAAAAAAAAACATATTGGAATCTGTGCAACCTGCAAGATTAAGAAATGATTCTAATTTTCCACATGGATCCTGCAGGTCTTCTGCATGTTCAATATACACTTAACATTGCACACATTAAGCATTTATGAACAGGAATAGAGAGTTTCCTAGACAGAAGTACAACAAAAACAACAAAATCTAAATTCATAAGACTACTGTCGACAAATATTTACACATCTCCCATCATGTTCATTTTGTAAGTGATCACTGCTTACTAAACTCTCCTGCTATGGCTTAACCTTACATACTCTCCTGCACCCATTTTTTCCAGCATAAATGAACTGAATACATAAATTGAGCACAGAAAATAGTAGCAATTCTTTAAAATCCAGGAATAGTCATATACTTTTTAAACCAAACTAAAGTCTTCTTCCTCTCAAGACAGAGGAAAGGTTGCTGACTAAAGGTTTATTTTTAAAGAAACACAAGCAACACAGAGGCAATATGACAATATGATATGCCAGACTCCTTACCTGGAGAAAGACTCGCTTAGGCTTTGGATTAGCAGAATCAGAACTGTAAGGGAAGAAGATTCCGCTACAGACAAGCATCAGAGTGACAAAAAACACAGTCGTTAAAGTTATTAAAGTTGTTTTTGTGCTTCTGATGAGGTAAACGAAGTTAATCTAGAGGGAAAAAAAAAGCACTTCTGTTACAGAACTTTATAATTCAGAATTAAGAGAGTCTCTTTGCCCTTTGTAAAAATATAATTGTGAAATCAAAAGTATATTTTAAAAATATCATTATCACAAATACCACTTGAGACAACACCCTTCTTTGTAAACCTTAATCTCTAAAAACAAAGGTTTTAGCTTTCAAAAAAAATATATATATTTTGAAAGATATCTGCTAACCAAAATGTCAATTTATAGCAAAAACTGACCCCAAAAAGCATATACAATAGAAGCATAATAGGAACACTGTTCTGCCACAGAGTATACTTCTCCTAAAACCTGTTTAAAACTCCAGCATTAAACTGCATATTTTACAGTCTTTACTACAATCATCATACAACAGATTTATTTTTCCAATCATGGCTTCGATGAGGAAATTGCCTGTAAGTTTGGTATAGCAATATTTTTGTCAAAGTATCATTAACTTTTAATATTTAGGAAAACAGTTTTAATATCTAATAGAGTTTGAATTTTCAAACAATGTTTAAAAAAATTTCCTTACAAAATAGGATGAGAGAATCACAGTGACGGCCACAATTAATCCTGCCAAAACCACATCTGGTGGAATTTCTGAACCACTTCGTCCCATGATAGGAGTGAACATTTCAAATACAGTCCAACTAAGGTACATCACATACAGATATGGAACAAACATTCCCAGCATGTACATCATGACAAACTTCATGGTGGTACCTGTATGGGATAGGAAAATAAAGTAGACAACAAAAATATGTAAGAGCTAATATGGACAAAAAAAATCATACAGCTTTACTGTCTAAGCATACAGTGCCTTGGGGCACAAAATATGACACTGGTACACACACCCAGTGCTACTCAGAAAGCAGTTCTCAATTTATACAGCAAGTGCCAGTACGACAATTTTTAAAACATCAGGAAACTACTCCAGAAAGAAAAAAAATATCTAAGAGGTGTTTCACCTCAACCACTGTTTAACAGTATTTATAACAACCTTTACTGCCTGTCTTCCTAGGATAGGAAGATTTAATATAATCTCATGTAGCATCATTCTGTTTAGCCTGAGAAAAAAACATGTTTCAGACTTTCTAAACAGCTTCTCTATAGTCATAAACTGTCTTTGGGTAAAGAAAACTTCTACTTGAGGACAAAATACTACCCACATACTTGGACTACTCAAATCCAAGGGCTGAGGATTTCTTTTTTTGCTTGTTTTAACAGGTGTGGGCAAAAAATATCCCAGTACAGAGTAATAAAGGTTTGAAATACATGAAAACAAACAAACAAAAAACAGACTCTTACCCTTTTGTCTAAATTCTTTATGGATCATCAGCTTAGTGAGTAAAGGAAATGCTACCCATAATGTACAAATAAATGCTGAGCAAAGGCCTATCTGAGTAAGCATAGTCAATGCTATAGCCCAGACCAGCAATGAGGCATCAAAAAACACATCCCCCAGGTATTGTTCATTCATATTCTGTAATGAAAAACAAGAAGATACAATTGCCAGTGAGCAGAAATATTGTGTATTGCATCTCAAAATAATACAAAGAGAAAGTTTAACCATTAAAAATGCCTTTTTTTTTTCTTTCAGTTATACAGGCAGTGTCAGAGGGTTTACAGGGCAAGATTCTTAACTGAGTTATACTAGTAGTTCTAGCCAAGAGGGACTGCTGCCATGAACAACTGCTATCAGCATGTATTGTGCTTGATTTTGGGTGGGAGAGTTGCCAAACCTTCTTCAGAAGAAAAAGCTAATTAATCTCCGTGTTATTGAGCCACTAACCTAAATTACTGTTATTATGAGTTATACGAGAAATACAGTGAGCATTATTCTGATAAATACAGAAGGAGCACAAGCCATATGTTACCCTGCAAGCTATAACTTGCAAGGAAAATTTTAAGAGATATGTGATACCTTGTGGCCTGATGTTAATCAGACAAGCAGCAGATGAAAATAAGATCCAAAAATTGAAAGAGCCGGAAATAGCTGAAACTGAAATAACTCTGGTGTTAGTAAGAGCCACCATTCCAAAAAACTGTATAATGGCAGTGTAAAAGCTACAGTGGAAACATAGACTTCAGCAATCTCCATAAGAGGAGAAATAGTACTTTGTATTTTCCACATATGACAATTCATTAAAAATCCTAAAACAAACAAGCAAAAAAACGTACTTCCAGATATGAAAGATCCACCCATAAGTTTCCCTAAGATAAGATCTCACTAAGTTCTTAAACTTCAAACTATTAGATAAAGTTGGACTTGATTGATGGATTAGGTTTCCTAAATTCTTTCGTTCAAAACTTGTTCAAATGGCTAAGAAAAGTAGCTGAGGTGAATGATATTCACATATCTACTCTTGGAAACCTACGTCAGAATCAAAAATGTTTTTATAGGGCACACACCGACTAATTTGTCGCATAACTCAAGGTTTCATACTGCAAAGTGATGTAAAAGGTCTGCCATCTAAACATTTTGAATTATTACTTATATATCATGACACCACTATGCAATTAAAAAGTTGTTTCTGTTAGCCCATACAGAAGAATTCTAAACAAAAACAGTAATTTCATTAATCAAAATGACAGTAATGCAAAGGTAATCCTTCCAAACTGCTGCTTAAACCTTACAGGTATCCTGACTAACTTTCTGCAGAAAACGACACTGCAAAGATCCATATTCCCTGCCAGCTATGGTAAAAACAACTAACAACTGAAAACCTAACTAAATACCAGAATAATTACAGGAAAAAAAGAAGTACAAATACTCATTTTTTACTTCATCTGAGAAGCTGCATAAAGTATGGATATTGCATCTAGAAGATACGATTACAAAAGCAGGAACTCAGAAGTTTGACTTTTTTTTTTGTTTGTTTTTAAACAGAAAAAAAGAGTGGTAGAATTTGCTTAGAAGACAAGAAACAGAACAGGAACTTCGAGTTTTCTGCTATGAAATAATGATAATAATAAAATATACACCAAGAAAATATACACCAAGAAACACGGTACCAAACGATTAAATTGTGGGAACCTGTCATAATAAGACAGAAAAAAAGAGGCATGTAAGATTCAAGGAGGAGTTGGACATTTATGTAGATTCTTTAAGTATTAGAAAGAACATCAAAAGATATTTAAAAGTTTCTGCTGTTTCATTTCATTCTTTGATCACTGATGACAGGAAGGGTAGAGAAATATTACCCCATGCCATCTCTTCCACGAAATTGTTGCATTTTCCTCAGCAACTTGCAGCAGCTGCTAGAGGCCATCTGCTAGAGGCCATTAGCAAAAAGAAAGCTGTGAATTCAGGGGGGCTAATTCTGAATCTTCAAAGCAGCACATTTGCTTAAATGAAGCAGTTCTTACAGAAACACTTTAAATACCTCTGGCCAATACACAGAACTTAATGCCTCTTCTAAACCAACTCAAAGTTAATCTTCCTCAGGTTCCCCAGTACACTTCCCTTCCACATTAGCAGTTATTCAGGCTTACCTTGTAGTAGAACTTCTTGGCTAGCGTATGCACAAGAATGATCTTGGCTGTAGCTGCAGTGCCATACAGAGACACAGAGACATAGAAATGGGAATACCAGGAAAGAGAGCGCCCGATAAGAGAGATGAACACTGCCACAATAAGGACAGTCACCAGCGTAGAGATCCAACTTAACAATGTTAAGCCAAATGCAGTGGAGAATTTCTTCAGGTTATTAATAACTATGAAAGAAAAAATGTTATCTAACAACTTCATATTCTACTGCAAAGTATAAAGATTAAAATAATCTCTGGAGTGTAATTACTTTAAAAACCAAAATGATAAGAATGTATTAAAACCAAAAATCTACTTTGAAGACTTCTGAAAAGCAGGGTCTAGATCATTCAGTTTGTTCCTTTGTAAGCCTTGTGCAGTGCAAGATGAAATACCTGAGTTCTGCCATATTTTCTTGGGTACCATATGCCCAAACAGTAAAAGTTTCTCTACGTGAGGCTTCAAGTCTACAAAAAAGTGTCAAGAGTTGCTTTTCTTGCAACAGCTTCTTACCTCAAATGTTTTCTGGATTTAGTTATTTTCTTTAAGATATGTTCACATGCCTCTAATATCCTCTAATTGGAGGATATCCTCTAACATATCCTCTAATTGGAGGATTTAAATTGTTATACGCCCTTTATTAACTTCTATTTTTTTTCACTATTTGTTATTTTGTTATTAATTCCTGTTCATAGATAGATCTTAAAGAAATAGATGTTACTAAAGCCCCATCAGTATGATCAGAGGAATCAATTAATCCAGATGCTAAGCAAGTTTAAAAGTTTCTTCCGTTTTCAGATCTTTAAAAGACTCCATTTAAATCTTCATGAAAGGATAAGGGGCATAATCATATGATCCACAGAACTTAAGCTTTTAGGCTTATTTTTATCTTTCTTCATGTTTTCCATAGCTGAGACTTGATCTCTTAAATGAAAAGCAATTCCTATGGCATGCTGCATATCTAAAATTCATTTCCAGAGTTTAGAAAAACAGATAATGTTGCAACTGTTGCTAATGATTAGTAGAATGAGAAATGGTCAGTTTAAAAACAATTAAACACACACAAATCTAGACTTACCTCTGGTTTTGGGCTGTAGTATTTTTTTGCTTAAATAAAGAAAGGCAATTGCTGCTATTATATAGTTCATGATGGTACCAACACGAGCAGGATAAGCCAGGACAAACAGACCAAGTATATCGAAGAAGACAACATTTCCATGACGATACTCAAAAGATTTAGCCAACTTATCTGATGTCGCCAGATATTTTAGGACAGCCAAAATGTTATCACCTATTCCAAAAACAAGGCAGACAGCATAACTATACAAGTGTTGAAGAATCAGCACGCAGCACTCTAATGCCTATGAAAACAGAACTATTGAAATATTGAGTCCATAAATGAACTGAATATATAAATGATTTACTTTACAAAAATAGTACACATTTAGGATATCTATACAGTCCATAAAGTAAGCACATTTGAAAAGCTTTGTGTACTAAAAGACTACTGTGGAAGCACCACAAAAAGGAGTAGGCACACTCTCTGCCCACAAGCCCTGCTTCAGTCCTGGTATTATAGCATCAGACTTACAGGATGAATAACAGTAGAATCATTTTCTGCTAACCCTGCTCTTCTTGTCCATACTAACCTCATCATGTTTCTCTGACTGTGAATTACTTGCCTTTCTTTAGAAGACTGTAAGGTCTTCTATCCAAGAAGGATATTTTCCTTTGCAATCTGTAAGTACCAATCACCCTTTCTCTCACACAATACAGCTGAAACATATGTAATCAAGTAAGAACAGTTCTTCTCAACTTTTGCTTTTACTTGCCCTGTACAATTTCCTACTGGCTTGGCAGTTGTGTTTCTTGTTGTTGCTGTTCATTTCGTGTGTGCTTTTTTTCACAGCAATACATTTACTAGAAAAATGTTTTATCTTGCCATAATGAAAAAAAAAAAAAAAAGACACCCCATAGCTTTCTAATAGAAATTTGTGGAGAAAGCATTACCTTCTCTTAGAACTGCATTTCTGTAAAATGTGCTTAAAACTCTAATTTGTAGTAATATTAGATTTTCATTTCCAAAACCTTGAGGCTAGAGCCATAAGATGAATAAAGACAATCCATGCAATTTCTGCCTGTTTAAAAGGGGCAGGGGTCAATACCCTGGAGGAAACTAGGATTATTTTAGATTCTTCTGTGAAATGAAAGAGCTCCCTTCAATTTCCTGTTTCTGTAACCCTGGGAATAGACTGTTAAGGGCAAAACCTCTTAGAGGAGGATGAATTCTACTTATCCACAGTATACTGACAGTAAAACTTACTGTAACACTATATAATTTTCACCAAGACCCATTCTCAAAGAAAAACTTCTGCTGGAGGGTCAGTCTTCATGCTATCTATGTAACTGAGCTTCCCATGATGAAGCTTAATCAGTGAGGTACACATACCAAGAGAAAAAAAACAAACACAGAATTCAGAGAAACAATCAGGTATCAATGAATGGAACTACTCAAGATAAGTAGACTACAATCTTAAATACATTCCATAGTTCCATAGTCTACATACAGGTTACTATTTCTTGTAGCTGACCAAGGATTACTCCCTACGTATTTCAAAGATACACACAAAGCCAACTCTTCTTTCTTTAGAAGATGTCCACGCATTTTTTAAATTAAGAATTTCTTGATATCTCATATGAAGAAATTCGTAACTTAAATTCTTGTTGTTACAGCAAAATAAAGTAACAGTTTTTCAGTAAATTTTAATGGAATTATTGAAATACCAACCAGCTCTCTGAATGGAATCTGTTAAAATTCTGTCTGATGTATCATATTTTGTATGATAAATATAACCATTTTCAATAAAAGCCAAGTCTATTCCTAGAGGAGAAAAAGAAAGAAAAAAAAGAAAACTGTAAATGAGAGCTCAAAAGAAACACGCAAAAGTCATATATTTCACTCAAAACGTAATTGCTCTGCTTTGCAAACCACCCACTTCCCTCAGATGAGCAAAAATAGCCTTTTTGTAAATTGAATATAAATTAGGATTCCACAGTCATTTAAGAGAAAAAAAAACTCAACCATTATAAAACATCTGTTTTCCTAATCCACTGATTTTCATGGTATCTGTAGCTAAACAGGTGAATACTGGCAAAATACTTTAAAAAGCAATCTCACAGTCATCTCAGATTCAGAAAAGGTAAGGTGCTCCAGTTTCACATGTACTGTCAGAGCAGTCTAAGTTAAATGTTCAGATTCACACTTGGTGACTTACAAATATTTACTGTTAAAATATCAGTAGATACTTACTCTGAAAAGTAACTATAAGCTATACTGTAGAGTTTTAAAAACACTCTCACAAAATGCCAGATGTTTTCTTTCTACTCCTTAAATGGAAAAAAAGAAGTTTTCTAATGTTTAGCCTGAGAACTTTTTACAAGTTGAAACAATATATAAAATAACCAAAAAAGAGGTTCTGCATGCTGAACTGTATATCCGGCATATCTCAAACACCATATGCATTCAGCTATGTATGCAACAAAGCTCCTGTGTGTGATTTCAATTGTCACATCATTGACAAAAGTAAAATAAAGCTGATCTTCCATCTGTTGTTACACAAGCAGGCACAAAATAGTTTTTAGACTCAATCATTTTATTTTTGTTAATTTGAAAAAACAAGTGTGAGAATTAATTTATGAAGCAGGTATGATTCTTACTGCACAAAGAACAAGCTGTATGAGAAGAGCTATTTTCAGGCTAGAAATATATTTTGGAACATGTTTAGAATGGACTAACAGGTTTTGTCTTAAGAATCACTTCCGACAGATCATTTTTGTTGAAAGTGACTCCAGTAGCAACCTGCATCAGATACCAAGTTTACATTTCTCTGAACTTGTTCAGATGCCATTTTGTGTTCCATTTTTTTTCCAATACTCATTTTCTCCTTCTATTCATTAGTTATAGCTATTTGCTTCTCATTCCCACAAACAGATTATTTACTAGCACCACTAGAGTGTTTCAAAATAAGATGCTTAACAGTTGACTTATTTCTAGAAGTGCTTTTCTGATTTTAAGGGAACTTGTTTCCCAACATATAGTTCTATTTATTTAGAGACTCCAGTCTCTAAATAAATGCTTACAGTTCACACGGTACACTGAAGTTGAAGGCTCCTGCCTTAGAAAAGATGGGAAAAATGCTCCTGAATTGAAAAACAAACGAAATTTGAGGGAGTGTTTACAGTGATCAACTCACAGTCTGACTGTTATCAGCTTAGATAAATGGTTACATAACACCCACTGACACATCTCCCAGTAACATACCTGGAACATTGCCAAAGTCTCTGTAAATACGGAAGTCTGTATCTGCTGGGATAATTCCGCTCTGAAATATTTCCTGTGCCACCACAGAGGCAAAGGGATGTTCAGCTGCAGATACGTATGCTTGTACCAACCAAGGATTTTCAGGTCCTAACGAAAAGGACAAAAAGCTCACCAATAAATAAATAAAAATCTGAACTTCAGTTAGGATACATGTCTCTAGAGAGGTTTTTCTACAACACTTTTGTTACCATAGATTTTAACATTGTTGCTCCAAGAAGTACATCGAGTTCATCTGTGTTGGCTACAGGACTCTCAGACTTGAGAGAAGGGATTAGCTATACTGGAAAAAGGCTGACCTTTAAGTGTTCAATGACAAAACAAATAAACATCTTGCGAAGAACAACCAATATTAGTGCAGCCTTTGGTAGCATTTCCATTTTGTCGGTCATGTATCACACATCAAAAATGGTCATTTAGAGAAAAACCTCTCAATTGAAGCATTTAATGCAAGGACACAATTAAGCAATTGCAACAATAGAATTAAGTCCAGTCAGGGAAGTGCAGAAGTTTAACAGGTACCTATCTGAGCAGCTTCCTGAAAGCATGAAAAGATTTTAAAAACATCCAAATCCGTTTTCCCCCACCTCCTTTAAATGAAAGGGAAATACAACTTTCGGAATTCTGTTCCGCACAGGTTGACCCTCCCACGAGGGGAAATTTTGTGGCAGTGCTTTAGCCTTTATGAAACCAAAGATGTAGAAAAACTTACTGGTTGCAGATGATTGAGAAAAAGGCACAGGAATTCCCTTGTCTTTTATAAACCACTTTCAATATTCTTTCAAATCTATGTTATTATCAAATTACCCTGGTGTAGAAATGGAACAAAACACATGCTCATACCTGTTTGAAAAACAAGTTCTTTCCCTCCTACACCTGCTGCCTCCAGGTTAATAAAAGCTCTAATTGACTTGGCCCACTCATGTTGTGTAATGAAGCCGTGACTAGCCTTGATGGGAAACAAAGAAGATATAGGTCAAATATCTTCCAGACCAGCCTAAATTTTCTTTTCTGTCTCAGAAGATCACACTGTAAGTTCTGCTAAGGCAGCAACTTAGCAACAGATGGAGGTAAAAGATGAAAGCCTTCTAATTAAATTCGTATTGAGAATATTCTTAATGTAAGTATTTTTTTTTGTTTTGACAGCAAGTACTTTTTCCTCAGGATATTAAATTAAGGCTGACATATTAATTAACTTTTCAACAGCCAGAATATTTCTAAGTCATATCTGTAGCTGCTTTTCCCTTTGCCAGAATCTTAATTGACAACTTTGATACATATTTTAAAATTGTAGCAATTCTTACCTGCAAAATATTTTCTTCTGCACCATTAAATAAGAATATGACAGCATGCTGCAGGGGCTCTGATGATTTTGAGAGAGTGTTAAGTATTTCAAGCATCACTGAGCAGCTAACAGCATCATCACTGGCACCTTAAAATAATCAGCAGAACAGCACGGCTTACAACAAACACAGGACTGCAACAAAGACTAAAGGAGAAAAAAAAGTTTGTTGTTTCTCTAAATCATTTACATTTAATCTAACTGTATACGAGGTGCAGTTATGCCAAGCTTCAAAGAATTTTCCTCTACAGCTTGTATCCTTTGTCTATCCTAGCTAGCAGCAACACCAGAAAGCACAGCAGTAGGACCACCAGCAACTGACACTCATGCAAACAGTAACCTCTTCATGGGATCTCAACCTGCAGTTTCAATAATGGGTATATACCTGTGGCATGTTACTACAAGTGTTCGTGTGCGATTTCCCACTCCCATACACGGTTTTCAGTGTCAGGAAGGTATTTACACACGTTTACACCCCCATAGCAATAGTTATTTGATATGATTAGATCTATAAAAATGCAGAGGGACAGGAAGCAGAAAGAGCACAGCAGTGAAAGTTGCAGTGTAGGAGAGGTACATACTGCTGCATACTTTAATTTTTGATCATTACTAGCTTTTGATACACAAGCTTTGTGAATAGAAATAAAAACTGGCACGGTGTAAGTATATAATAATAGAAAGTTGAGAGGTAGTGTATTATTGGCACTGGGAGAGGAAATCGCACACTATGGTTAGTGAATTAAAAGGAAAAATATGGGACAAATCAGCCCGTGAAACAAGTATCAGATTTAAATCAGTACAAAAATACAGAAAGTGCTGAAATACAGGCAAAAGCATGTGAACCACATGCAAAAGCAGTGAATTACACGAAAGGGAAATATAAAAAGAGAACTTTTTAGGAAAAGAAAGATAATCTGTAATTAGCTACCTAATAGAAAATGACAAATCCTGGAAAATACTGACTTCAATAGGACCAACCTGTTGCTCTAAATAATGAATTTCACCACAATCAAGCAGAGAATAGTTGACACATTTTTCTAGCATGTGGATAAACACACACCTGCTATGAGAAGAACATATCACAAAATTTAAAAAGTTCTCTGCATCTCATATGATTCACAGAAATGCAGAATAATGGACACACCTGGTGTATTCGGTACAGAGTCAAAGTGACAGTTGGATAATACTGCATGTTTCGCTCCATTTCGAGGTTCCAGTTTCACTACAATATTGGTTACATTTGCATAGTAACTGGTGAAGCCTCCTAAAAAGTCAATGCTGAAGGAGCCTGTGGGCCTCTGTACGTCTATAAAAATCTTGTGAGCATCAGTGCTTTCAACTTCAATTGCCTTAATTTGTTCTATGAGGTAGTTAACAGTATGAACTTCATTTTCTGGACTTCCAACTGTTCGGGGCCCAATTGCAGTTATGTCATCAAGATATCCCCTGCAAGACATAAATTACACATTCAGCACCTGCACATTTAATATTTAACTAACTCACAACTACAGCATTTTTGTGGACCCCTCTACTCTAAAACTCACAATAGACAGGAGAAATTAAAGGCAATTAGACCAGAAGCTTAGTCAGTCGAATCATCTTACCTAAGACCATTATGGTAAGGGGTGCGGGATGGATCTTTGCTCAGGCTTCCTTATTCTGTCATAACTCTAAAGCAAGCCATTAATTTTATATTTTGAAAATGCAGCACTCCATAGCATCCATTAAAAAAAAAAAAGATAGAGGGAAGAGGTCCTGCCAAGGATTCTGTCTTTGACTGCACACACTTATACATACATCCTTTTCCTTGAATAGGCGCAATCTTAACAAGATTCTCGCTACCCCAGCCAATTAGCAACTTGCAAACAGTCTCCCTGGACACTAAGTACTTGACAATACAGTGAGAACGAAACTATGAGAGATGCATTGTTCGAGCAGAGTAACATGCACTTGTTTTACGAGGCAGCCAACCGGAGAGCGACAGCACCCGGAGCACATTAGCATCCAACTTGCATGCATCCAAGCGAGGCCAGCGCTCCGGGGCACTGGCGCCACCCGGCCCTCCACGGAGCCTCGCCGGGGCCCGCGAAGGGGGTAGCCCCAAGAAGCTGGAGGGAGGCCCGGACCCGTA